CGTACGATACGTAGTTAGGTTAGGTACGGTAGTAGTAAGGAGACGACGAACTAACTATATTATATTACGTTACTATAGTAGTAGTAGTAATATACTACTATATATATATATATATATATATATATATATATATATTGGAAAAGTCTTAAAAATGCCTATAGGTAAATTGTTACAGTGTTTCGCACCGTCATGGACATGCTATATTCGTGAAGGTTTTACCTAAAAATCGTTACGGATTTATAGGAGCCGTGGCGGTCCCTATATAATTTTTGCATGGAAAACTATCCCGTTATGGACTTGCTATGTCCATGATGGATCGCAACGGACATGCTATATATCTGTAACGATTTCAAGCAACTATTGTACAGTAATATGATGCAACAACCTTAAAAAACCATCTTATGGTCATTTTTTGATCCAAAATTTGAAATATACACTATTTTCATTCTAATGAACAATCACAAAAAAAAAAAAAAAAAAAATTGAAAACACAACCTAGAAAGTATTTTTTTAGCCCAATTAACATAGGCTGCTCATGTTAGTGATATGCTTAGATCTAGGCATTAGAAGGTTTTTTTTCATTTCCAATTTTTTTGGATGGCTTTATTATCATTAGAAAAAAAATGTTAAAAAAGAAAAAAATGATTTTGAGTTTATAAAGGCTAAAATCTTGAAATTCTTAAAATGAATGGTCTAGATTCGTTTTTGGAGAGGACTCATTTTGACCATATCTAGGGTTCAAATTTAACTTTTGTTTTTGGGAGATTGATTATTGAGATGAAGAGAGTGTGCGTGCAAACTTTGGGGTCATAGTATAATGCAACGACACTTCTAAAAAATTATGTTTGTAGTATTTGTATGACCCAAATTTAAATAATCAAAGTAAGGTACACCTCCAAAGTTTATTACATATATTATTTTCGTGTTAAAAATTATTAGAATAGCTTGAGAATCTATTTTCATCTCTAATAAAAAAAATTAAACTCCGAAAATGCTTCAAATCAAGTAGATCTATAAAACAAATGAGAGTTTTGAAAATAGACGCTCCTGATAATGTGTTATAATATACACTATTTTTAGGTCTAAACAATCTGTTTTGTTACATGATCATGCATCTCGATGTCGAGATGATCAATTACCGGTTTTTCTAAACAGCCTTTTTGGATTTTTAAAATACATCTTAATTCCACATTTTAAGGTTCCAACATTGTATAAACTTTTTCTATATATACATGTATTATTTGTGCATAAAGGAGCAGACGGCCAAAACAAAGTCCATAATTTCACCCAACACGCCAGCAAAATGATGGTCTGTACTAAATTACACCGCCTCTTTATAATAGAAAAAGTCGTTCTGTTTGGAAACCACATAATCTCAACTCTCAAGTATACATAGTAGCATCATCGTTCGAGTAAACAAATAGATAAATATATATATATATATATATATATATATATATATAAAAAGGAAAAAGAAGTAACCAAAGGTAACCCCGATTTAAATTGAACAATAGGTAGTGTTAAGCATATGAGTACAGTAAGCACATGAGATGAAGATTAACACATTCTAAATGTGTTTCAATGCTTGATTTTTCTTTTTGGGCCACACCTTGCTTGAACTGCAAGAGTCTTTATGGTGCCGGGGCATAGGTCTGTACCAAAATTGCTGGGCAGAGCAGAGACCACACAGCTCTCTTTACCTAAACAAGCCTGAAAAAAATAAAAAACAAACAAAAAGCACCTAATTGTTAGTTACTAGGAGCAAACATCAATGTTAGGGGCTTAGGAGCAAGCAACACCATATTTACGAGGTTTTTGAGAGACTGAGAGAGAGAGAGTACCTTCTCGACAATGTCCTTGGCGACAGCCGAGTGGCAAGTGCCAGTTGCAAAGGCACTGCAAATACCAATCGGGTTGCCAAAACTTGCAAAGTCGATGGTTTGGATGACATTGTCGGAGGGGCAATGGAGGTTTAGCATGGGCTGCAACTCGCTCTCATGCACCAATGCCTTTATCTGTGAGTCGCTCCTCTCAAAGTCCTTAACCTTTGGTGGGTGGTTCTCCGACACGAATCCGCAGATAATGTCTCTCCTGACATTCTCCAAGGTTATGCGTCGAGGGTTTCCTCCGGTCTCTTCGAGTATGACTAGCAAGTTGCGCTTTGGCTTTAGGAACGATCTAGGAATATGATAGACAGACTGAGAGGGAAGGCCCAGTGGTGTGAGGTAGGAGACCCAGTATCGACCGATGCTCTGTCCATTCACCCAAATCTCACCCTTCCCCATGCTGCTCATGTCCAGGGCTACGGGATCGCTACCGGCAGGTGCATCAAAGTGCCTCTGAAAACATGAGGAATTCACAACCATGGGGAAAACCTCACCGCATTCCTATGGGCCATATGAGTATCTAGCAACCATGACCTATGGGTTTGTCGGCTTCCGATCGAGAAGTTGGATGATCAATGTACTTGTTGAATAGTATGGTGGCATCTACTCATCACCGCTAATGCATGGCTAGAACAGTGATGAACTCGTAGTGACCGTATGGATCATATTTTACAGGAATTTCTTTACAATTCAGCTCTTCTTCCCAGGCGTTCACACGACAAAACATATAGCATGCAATTTGTATGGGAGTTCTACATCTCGAGCTCGATTCTTACTGCTGAACTACCCAAAACAAATTATATGCTAGTTACATGCATGCATATGGGGCATTTACAGTATTCTATCAAGATGAATGGTGGAGATGAGCCTTGGTATGAACATAAAATCCATTTCAGTACTACAGTCCATCTCCACCGTGTATCTTGGGAGTAAACGGTGGATGCTCTGCATATTTATGCCCTAGCATACACATATGTGGATGCTAAACTTTTTCCCAAGTGTCGGCTTCCAATTTTATATAGAGAAAGTATACAATGAGACCATTTATCTCTGGTAGAATATGGTCAAAACTAATATTGATCACTTGATGTCAAATTGGATGGTTCTATTTATTGCATTGACCAAGCTCAAAACTCAAAAAAAAAAAATTCTCACATTTTATGACACACCAAAACTATCGAATTCACATCAGATAGTTTAAGTAACTGTGAATATCAATATAAATGGTCGCATTGTATGCAATCTTTCTTATTTAACAACCGATTATAACTAGATTTGGGCCAGTTTGGAGGAATTTTGAACTATTGGGCAAAGTGGCTTTGAGTACGCACCTTGTACCATATGAGTGGCTCATGGTCATGGCCCTTGGCATCGACCCACTTCACCTTCTTTGAGCTACGAGGGTTGTAAACCTCTAGCTTTTCTCCTAACAACCCCACCTAAATAAGCAAAAAAATTTATTAATAATAATAATAATAATAATAATAATAATAATAATAATAATAATAGTAATAACAACAACAATTACTGAGGTTTGAAAATTTGTCGATAAGAATCAGAATTGCCAGTTCTAGATCTAAATCTGGGTGATTGTGGCTAATGAAACATGAGAACCACCCCAATTACTCAATTTATTAGTTTTTTATTGATTTTTTTGTAACACTTATTCTGATACAAAAAGATGATTAAGAATACGAACAATAATAGTAATAATAATAGTAAGATGTTCAAAGGTATTGTGTGTGTACATATTATAGACGTAGTGTGTGTACAGTGAGACACTTTCCCATGAAACCTGCAAAAGATATGAGAAGCATATGCTTACTTGGTGACCCCAAATGTTGTTGATGAGATCCTGGGTTCCAGTCATTAGACCTTGGATCAATACCTTGCTCACACCAGCAATCTTGTGCTCCATATAACCTCCACTATTCTTCATTCCATAAAAAAACAATAATACTAATATTGTCAAAATGTAACCACAAAAAAATGTAATATATATATATATGTATATATATATATATATATATGCAATTGGAATGTTTTTGAACTTTGGAACATTTGTTCCGCTTAATTTTTGAGGTGCACCTTACATCTGCAGTATAAGGTTGCAACCTTATATAAATTGTCTCCATTTGTATTTATTGGAGAATAACCCAAATGTGTCCTGATAGGTCTTTATAGTAAATTATGAAAAAACACATTTTATTAAGTGCAAAGTTTAATTGAGCTCTTAATTTAATGTGATCCGTCACAAAAATCCATCTCTTATATGGATTTAGGATTCGAAACACATCTTAACGTCTCATTGCATTTATTGTTTAGATCCTTGATTTTTTAAGGCTAAAAGGACACATACGAGAAAATTGCTAAAAATTAAAATAAATGGTAATAAACGGTCCAAACATAAACTTTAAAGTGGTTGGCTTTAACGTTCAGAAAACCAATTTTTATTTCAAGTTCATGAATGTAGTGATCAAGATTATTGAGGTATGAAATTTTAGTCTACAATTTATCTCTAAGACGAATTCTTGAAGAAAACCACATTTGAATAGGTATTTCAGCTGATACACTAAACCCCATCCTCTAATTATCGGATTAGAAGAACTACTTACCGGAAATCCAGTGGTCATGCTCAGTAAGGAAATCTTGTTCTTGCCAGGTTTCAAGGTTATGGGTTTGTTGAGAGAAAAGGGACTCTGTACATGGTCCCCATGTGAGCTTCCTAAAAAAAAGAAAAGGAAAAGCATAAGTCAAGATACAATAACCAATTCATAAATAAAAGAGCGACTATAATATACTCCTTTCGGTGCACACTGTCCACTTACTCCCTCGAGCTAAATGCCTATAAAGGAGGATTTTTCGATCTTAAATTCTGAGATCCACATTAGAATCACTTGTGGAGCATTTTAAAAAAAGAGATGAATTTTTTGTTTCTAAGCCTTAGATCTTATCATCTCAAAATTGGGCAGTCTTGATTCAATCTTAGGATATTATTCCCAAGCACATATGAAGTGTATGAAATTGTTTCTTTTTGAGGTAGGTTGTTAAGTTGTGGTTACATTCCAAAATTTTGGGTTTTCAAAAATACTTCTAAATATTACTTTAACTGAGGGAGTGAATGGATGATATTTGTGTTTTTGGTTAATTTAGTGGGAAGACAGGCCCACTAAATTGTGGGTCTGTCTTCCCACTAAATTCTAAGTTGTTAAGTTGTGGTTACATTCCAAAATTTTGGGTCTTAAAAAATACTTCTAATTATTACTTTACTTGAGGGAGTGAATGGATGATATTTGTGTTTTTGGTTAATTTAGTTGGAAGACAGGCTCACTAAATTGTGGGACTGTCTTCCCACTAAATTTTAGGTTCTTAAGTTGTGATTACATTCCAAAATTTTGGGTCTTAAAAAATACTTCTAAATATTACTTTACCCGAGGGAGTGAATGGATGATATTTGTGTTTTTGGTTAATTTAGTGGGAAGACAGGCCCCTACTTGTTTTCTTTTAGATAGATTAGGAAGTTAGTTTTTTTGACGGTATCAGTGGGTGGTGTCAGCAAGATTGAAAACCACAATATGATAACTAGGTGATATCAAGGTGCTACCGTCACCACCCAAACCGAAGATGAAAGATGATAGACGTACCAACATAAAGGTCGTTAACAAAACCATGGACTGCATGGCCCCAAGATGCAACCTGGAGAATTGGTTTGATGCTGTTGAGCAACGGTAGATCATTGCTACCTACATCAATACTACAATTGCAAGGAGATTAGCTTCAGTTCCACATGAAAAAGAAAAATCAATCCAACAAACACAATACTAATTCATTGCATCAGTACTCCACAAAGGGTACGATTTTAATGGTTAGTCAGATGCCTCTCTCTCTCTCTCTCTCTACCATACTAATTAGACAACATTTAAGTGAACTCTTGCATAAACCTACTTGTGCACATAGTAGAACCCTTAAAAAGAGGTCTCTACATTAGAAATGAGTGCAGGTGTTCTAGAAATTATTATTATTAGTTTTTTTTGGGTCAAACTCATACAAGTAAACAAGTTTGAAGGGAGTTCCTGCTATTTAACAAAGTTATGGTTGAAGTTTTCACTAAAAGATTAATGTGTCTGTAACTTTGCTATGGTCGGTGTCAAGCTGGTCCCAAGCCCAGATAAAGGAGGAGGGCTGTGTTAAGTAGGCAGTCAAGGTAAAACTTTGTCGAATCTTTTCATGAATTATGAAGTCTGACAAATAATGTGGATATAGCATAATGGTGTATAACTGATCCCAAATAGCTAAGATAAGGCTCAGAAGATGGTGATATAAATGTCAATCTTGGTTGTTTTAGGAGCGCTCATAATATAAAAACCCCAATTTAGTAGAGGACAATATCCTATGTATAAGAATATTGGCCCCATTAAACTAATTACTCTTGGTTATTGTAGTGCAGGCCAAACTCTAGACGGAACAAATAATAACAACAAACCAATTTGCTTCAAGAAAACATCAACAAAAGCTCTTATATGAGGTCAAGCCAATTTTGGAGCAAAGTGATAGACTTCTCTTACTTTGTTGTGTACCACAAAAAGTCAGTGGTATCCTTGGTTGCATTGTAATGTTCCAAGAGCAGGGAGTTTTGCACAGGAGTGTCCTCAGTGTTAGGAATACTGTCCTTGAACATCTTCCATCTCATGCCTTTACTGAAATCCTTCACATGATGGAAGGTCCTTGCATTATGCTGTGCATTTACCTGTAAAGAAGCTACTTTAATTAGTCGATTCCTTGTTTGAAATCGCAAATCGAGAGGAGGAACTTGCAAACTTCATGATCTGGGCTGAGTATCTGAAGAATGCAAAGAACTTGGTTCAGTTTAAGAACTTGATTACTTAAGTTAGATCGAGACCCCTGACAAGATTCTCGTTTTCTCCTTCATTGAGAGTTGATTTTTCTTTTTTTCTATTCTTCGATGGATAAGCATGAGAAATCGTACCCCCCTACCTAGAGATTGAGGCTCAAGCCACATATATGAATTTACACATGCACACACAAACATAAATGCTTGTAAAAACCATCATAGGAATTGGGATTAGGTTTTTTTCTACTTCATTTCCTAATAACATGAAGCTCTTAATAGTCCACCTTAGAATGCCAATTGGAATCTTTGTTAAACAATTGATACAAAATTTTATTGGCAACCAACAAATAGAAGCATCTGGCAGTATTCATTTTTACTAAATGCATTCACTTTGATCCTATTCTTCACTGTAGTGGGGGAGCTAAAAATAGATAAATGATTATGTCGTTCCTGGTAGTTCTTCTTTAACAGTAGATAGAAATGTACTGTGAATAAGGATCATGTGGAATGCGGAAGTTCTTCTTGATCATTTCTTGAAACATTATACCCTTATCTATGATTCCTTATATTTCTATTTTTGCAACAATATCTTTTTAGAGATGTCGCATTATCTACATTACTAACCCTTCGTGCTCCTTAGTGTTTCTAACCGTCCACTCACTTGTGATTGAGCCTGCAAGGGCAGTGCGGTGAGAGGCGACCGCAGAAGTAATCATACAAGTAGTATAACTCCCACTTTAAGACACATTGACTAATGTTTTGCCCTTGTAAAATTTCAAATAAGTGCAAAAATATATTCAATCTTATCAAGCCAAAGAAAATATAAGAAGGCATTAACTTCAAGTTTTGAAGAACTATTTCAAAGATTGCCAATTAAATTTTATTTCTAGGTATTATATCCATACATAGACATGCCCCTTTCTACTTTTTTTTCTTGAGGCTAAATATATAACTAATTAAATTTTTTAACTAAATTAAGATTTCATGAGGGATAAATTAAGATGCATGGTTGTCTGATAAAGGAAAGAAGAGAAAAAGAGAGGGAAAAAATGCCACACCTTTTTAGTGTTGAAGACTACTGTCTTGCAATCAGGCAGGATACTAATAGAACGTGGTGGCAAATAGTATGGCACATTTTGGAAATATATAGTTGCAGCTTCCCTAGTATTATTGTTGGCAAGGAAGGCTGAGCAAACATTTTTCTCCGAATTCTGATAGACACGAGCCTGCAAAAAGAGATGTTAATAGCACAATAAGCTTAAATATGATACATCCAAAAGTATAACAAACCCATTAAAATGCTAGAAATAGTGTACTAATTTTTAAAAAAGGAAACATGTAGAGAGAGACCATTTATTTTTAGTATAAGGAGGTTATGAGTATTTTTTTCTATGATTTTAAGTCGGGTGGCTGTAAGTGTCATTGACTAGGCTCAAAGTTCAATTTTTTTTTTCAAACTTCGTGACACACCGCAAGCTATGAAATTCAACATCTTATGGTTAAGAGTGACTGTGAACTCCTTATAACAATGATAACTAGTCTCATAGTATACAATGAATGCCCTAATGAAAATTAGCTTGGGTGAGGAGGCATCATCAACAAAAATGCAAAGAACATGTCGAATTCCAAACTAGAAGAAAATGTGAGAAAGACAGTAGAATTAATACCCTAGAATGTCGAAGTCATTGTTATAATTGATGCAAGCATACCTCTAGTTGATGGCCCAAGGAGTAATTTGAGTGAGTTCCCCAAAGCAAGGCCTTTCTACTAAGTTTAAGAGCCCTATGCAAGTCCCTCAGATGACCCCATTTGGGTTCCCTTACAAGACCTAGCATTTTTATAAATCAAGCCACACCAAGTTCAAAATCTACACCTTTCCCAATAATAAGAATCAGAGATTGGGATTCATGTTTCCTAACCATATTCATCTAGTGGGGCTTCGTCGTAGTAACGAGTCGTCACGAACGATGAAGTTGTCCTCCCAAAATTCGTCCCACCATGATACTGCAGTAGACAGTTGAGATTTGTTTTCAATAATAATCGAAATATAGCAAATGTAGAAGAGAAGTTGAAGGAAAAGAAACGAATTTGTTGTTGCTTAATAGGAACTGCATACCATATAGTAGTTCACCAGCGTGCCGTGCTTCGAAAACCACCGAGCAACAGCAAATGCAAGATCCTCTGCTGGTCTTTGAGATGGGGGATCACCGAGTACTCGATACCTACACATTTGCAATGCTAATGTTTGAGAAATATAACGATTTTCAATTTCCTCTTTAGGAAGAGGTTAATTCAAATCTCTGTCTCCCCCCTCTCTCTCAGTTTCATGTTCCAATTTTTTTGAGCTCTATCGACAACCAGGCATTGTCAAATGACTGTCGATACATCGGCATTGGAATTATCTTTGCAAACGAGGAAGAGAGTTTACGTAGCTTAAAATTGGTCTAAGATAACTCACTGAGCAGTCCAATTCTCGGTCCATAACGAGGGCTTGTTCGGTGAATTGGGGCCCGTGAATGTATCACCACAGTTCCTTCCATTGCAGGTGTTAATCTGCACCAAATGAGGATGGATCAAAGTTTTGTAATAAGAATTCATGCTGCAATAATTTCATTGCCTAAAACATGACGTTTATGTCTAACAAATGGTTTGATAGGAAATGATGTAGCTCAATTTTGGAACACCAGCCGTCCATGCCGTTTTATTTTTCCGTTTTAACAAAAAGGCCCAAAAAATGCAGTATTTACGTGGAAGGATTAACTCCTTTGGATTTTTTTTTTCTTTTTCCGACTTTACTGCTGATGGTTGAAATATCAAACCGCTGATTGTTCACATTTATTAATAACAATACGCGCTCCGATGTTTGAGACATCAGACCGCTTGTGTTAGGGGTACCTTAAAATTTGTAGTGCGGTCCGACGTTTTAAACATCAGACCTCCCTACAAATTGTCACATTTCATTTTTTTTGACATTAGATGGCCTTATGAATATAAAAATAGCAAAAATGAATTAATAGATGGTGTGATATTTAAAATATCGACCCCCGGGCAAAGTTGGAAAACTAATACGAGGAGGTTAGTCCTTCCATGTAAATGCCGCATATTTTTGGGCCTTTTTGTTATAACAGTAAAATAAAATCGTAGTAATTTTCCCGCCACTTACATGGATAACGGGCCAACTTGTTACAATATAATGATATATAAAGGCAATGTCAGGGAAGAAAAACGTGTTTTTTTTAATTGTTAGAAAAGATGGGTCTTTACAAGAAAAAACGGAAGTCATTTTAAATGAACGGCAGTTGTGAAATGAACTTACAGCCATGATAACGGATTTGAACCTAAGATTTTAAAATATCAGAAATAACGGCTGTTGTTTTGTAAATACCAATTGTTATAATATACAAGGAAAAAGTTTATATAAGGAATCAACCTTATTATATAGAAGTAAGACGCGCTTCAAATATTTATCGAAAAAAATAGAAGTAAGATACACCTCAAAAATTTATTGAAAAAAGTTGTTTTGATGCGAAAAGCCCTCAAATTGACCATCTCAGCTTTGAGATCTACATATATGAAAAAAAAATAAAAAAAAGAATTCAAGTATTTTAAATGATGCATCTTGTAACGCACTATCTAGACCGTCTATTTTTAAGATTGTCTAAGTGTTTGTAGATCTAACGGATCTGTATTATTTTTTAGCTTTAAATTTCATAATTAGATGTGCAATAGATTTCTAGGTCATTGCTGAAATTTTTGACACTAAAATTATATCTTTCAACCTGGTTTGGAGGCACGCCGTACTTGGATTGTTTAAGGTTGACGCCTTATGCACACTGCACCCAATATCCAATGGAGAAATCTTTCCATAACATGGTATGACGAATAAATGAGGACTACGAAACTCACCACAGCACCAGGAGCATCTTTTTGCTTGCACATAATCCAGGGTACACCAGTATTAAGCTTGAGGGCCATGTTCCCGGCCCATTGCACATAATCTGCTCCCCTCTCTTTAAACACTTGTTGAACATTGTTATATTCGTTCTCAATCTACAATAAACACCAAATCAATTGAATATCGAATTAAAATGTAGGGAATCTCTAAAATTCTTTTAAGAGTGATTTAGGTACGGTCCCTAAAATTTTAAGTAGAATACAAAGTGCTCTATTTATAGGCAGAAATTACAAAGAAGATCGGTCAGCCTGTTTTTTTTTTTAAAAAAATTACCCCTCGGTTAACTCAAATTTTGAATTTTTTTTTTTTTTAAATTTTTTTTTCGTTAGTAGGGCAATGCCCCTAACTTTAAGGCATTTGCCTACTAACATAAAAAAAATAAAAATAAAATTTAAGTTGACTGAGAGGTAATTTTGGAAAAAAAAAAAATATACAAGTTGTCCAACCTTTACAATTTCCGCATATAAGTGGAGCATTTCGTATTTTACCTAATATTTTAGGATCCATACGTAAATCAGTCATTCTTTTATCCCAATGTAGAGAGAGAGAGAGAGATATTTTAAGAACCTGTGTGAGAATTATAGGACCCCCTTGTGGAGCGAATAGTTCGTTTTTATTCATCATGTTCACGATCATCTTCGCATATCTCTTCATATAATACTGCAATGTAATAGAGGCAGGGTTTTGGACCATAAGTTTGGGAATATAATTAAAGTTGGTATTATTCAAGAGAGAGAAAGAGTGTGTGTTAATCTGGGAACGAATTAAAAGAGAGTGGATATGGGAACTATGAGCAGTGATCGATTGCACGACCTGGCCGTGGAACCCAGCCATGGGTAGTTTCGGGTAACCCGAAACCGGTCTAGGCAGCTTGCCAGGGTCGGGCACGTGCCGACCACTCAAAAGAACGTTTAATCTTTTTTAGAAAAAATAAAAAAAAAATGTTTAAAGTATAATTAAACAAAATATATCCAAATGAAGTTTAAAAAAGTAGCTACCAAATAGATTTTGAAAAATCAATTTATATCTATTTTTAGAAATATTCCAAAAAAAAAGAGAAAATGTAAAAAATAAATATTTATAGCCGAATTACTTCCAATCTATTCTAAAACAATAAAAAACTTTAAAAACACTATTACAAATAAATTTCTTATTTTTTTATAATTTTTTGAATTTATTTTAAGTTAGGGCCAGCTAAAATCGGCCGCAGCCAGCGCCCGGTTTTGCAAGCACTAACTATGAGAGATAATGTTGAACCAAGAGAGAGAGAATATGGAACTATGAGAGGGAGATAACATGGAACTAATATGGGAGTATGTGAGAGATAATGGGGACATAAGAGAGAGATAATATGGAAGTAAGAGAAGAGTGTATGTATTTATATATGAGAGAGAGATTCACCTTGAATGGCTGGTTGTCGGTTCGGAAGATAATACCGGGCTTCTCTCTCAACCAATAAGGGAACCCACTGCATTAGTAGTTCATTGAGATAGCACATTAGTGGATCTTTCCATAAAAAGAATTCTATTAAAACCAAAACTAGGGTTGGCAATAGATCCGGACGCGGACTTGGACCCGACTTGAAATCCGTCTGGTATATCCAACACGTGTCTAGTATGGGTCCAACATTTGGATCCGGCTGGTTGGGTCCGAGTCCAAAATCTGGACCCGAACACTATTTAGGTCTGGGTTCAGTTGGACTGACTTGTACCCGACCTGTACTCGTAAACTGCTGGAGATAAATACTTCAAGCTCTATTTGTGTGTGTGTGTTAAGGATTGTGTACAATAAAAATTCATAGTCGTCTTTAGCGATTAAATAACCAATCAAACTAATGATTGTGACCTTTTTACCAATAATATGGATATATGGGAAAGAGATGTACCCATGATTCCATTCAGCCTCGATAAAGGGCCCAATTCTTAGAATCACATAGAGACCTTGCTTTTGAATGAGCTTGATGAACTTAACGAGATTATATCTGCCTTTGAAATTGAACTGCAAAAAAAATTCATCTCAAATTCGCAACCCCTTCATCTTTAATGCATTGTTTATAACTTATAAACGTTTAATTTCAGGTAAAAAAAGGCTCACCTTTCCTTCCACTGGCTCATGAGCGTTCCAAAACACATAGGTTGAGATCACATTTATTCCTCCTTCCTTTGCCTTGGCGATCAGGTCAGGCCACATCTGATCAACACAAGCTTTTTAGAAAGCCCTCAACCTTAACAAAATCTCAACAAAAAAAAAAAAAAAGGTTTCAAATCCCTAGAAGTAGTTTAACTTGTAACACATTTTCTAACTCCCCAATTGTAAGTGTTTACATAGCTTTCCCGATCTGCATCATTTTTAGAGCTTAATATTATGCAAAAAATTTTATTTATTAATGAAGAATTTCAGCCTTGCGTAAATCGCACCCTCGAAATACTGGTATATCTTCTCCCTCAAAGAATAAGAAAGAAACAGGAGAAGACCAAACAACTCACATCAGGAGTGCTCCTAGGATAGTGAATAGAACCAGAGAAGAAGAGCTCTCTCCTCCCATCAATAATTAGCGACCTTCCATCATATGTCACATTCTGTTTTCTCCCCACTCCTTCATGGCTCAACGCAACCGAACCTTCATGGCTCAACGCCCCTGAAATTGTAGAGACAAGGACAAGGCACAGGACCCCAAGACTCAGGCCCTGAATGCACTTTGACATGGCTAATAAGCCTAAGAAATTGCAGCCCCAACCCCGAAAACAAAACTCTGAACCAGTTGATCCGATGGGCTCCTCTTCATAGAAAGAGGAACCCCGGCGCAGATGAATCGCTGTGCGGCCGTTATAAGCATTTAAATTAAATAGGGAACGATGGGTTGAGAGAGAAACCCGGTTATTTCTTACAGATCAAGGAGCGGAATACCAGAACAATGGGGAGTTTTTTCTATTATTATCGCCCTACGTGTCCTTTTTTCCATTGTTTTCTCTGTGTAATTTAACAAGTGCTCTGAGATTAACACGGGGAGAGAAGAAGGAGAGATGGTTGAACACGTAAAAACCTTTTTTTTCCACGTATAAACATAAGGAGAGATGCGGGAGAAAAGAGCTTGGAGGGACATATACACCAACAAATGAAGGTCTTGGAAGGTTTCTATACTTCTACACCATAAAAAGATTTATGCTTCTCCTTCCATTCAGCTGTCCAATTTAGATCAAGTGAGCTTTTGATCTAGATCCCGTTAGATAGAGTATTTTATTTTTAATATTTTTTTTATAAATTGTATGAATATGAAATTTGGTACGTATCATCTTCTCAATGGGTGAACCTACAAAAAATAGTTTAATTGTTTTCATTAAAATATAAAAATGACTAAATACCCCTTAAAACTTTCAGATGTATTTTAGTCATTTAATTGAATTAATTTATGTATTTTTATTTTTTATTTTTTATTACTAGTGCGAGTTTAAGAGATGAGTGGATACCCAAAATTTAGGGTCAAAATAATTTTTATAAAAAATATTAAAAATAAAAAAAGTGTAGAGACATGACATTGTGATTGGGGACATCTCAGCTGTCCATTTAGAACGGACGGTTGGATAAAGGGGAAGTATATAAATTTTATGATGTAGGGGAAGCATAACGTATTTTTTTTTTGTGTTCTTTTTTTTTACAAATTGTATGAAAATGAAAATTGATACGTGCGATCTTCCCAAGTACGACTTTAAGAGAGGAGTGGATGCCCAAAATTTGGTGTCAAAATAATTTGTAAAAAAAATATTAAAAATAAAATAGTATAGAATGACATTGTGATTGGGGCCATCTCAGCCGCCCATTCAAAATGGATGGTTGGATAGGGAAGAAGTATAAAATTTTTATGGGGAAAAATAGAAAGTTTGCACAAAAAATTATCAAATACTAAGTTAGTTTATTGAGTAAATTACGCGCGTCTATCTCTTAATTAAAATTTTGTTTAAACCCAACTAATTTTTGCACTATTATATTGGTACTTGTTTAATTCACTATTTTTCTAAAGGAAAAAGTCTATATAAGGTTGCAACCTTAAATGTGTAATAACCGATGCGCCTAAAAAATCCATCATAAAAGATTGTTTTAATGTTGAAAAACCCTCTAATTAATCATCTCGACATCAAGATTAATGAATATGAAAAAAAACAAGATTTTAAGTTAAAAAAATATTGCATCTCGCAACACAATATCTAGACTGTCTATTTTCAAGTTTTTCATATGTTTATAGATCTGCCAGATTTTAACCAATTTTGAAATTTAAAATTTTATAATTAGATATGAAAATAGATTTTTAGATAATCCTAAGAAATTTTTATACCAAAATAATATGTTTTAATAAAATTTGGAGCTGCGCCTTAGGATTTGTTTAATGTTGCAACCTTATAGAAAACACATCCTTTTCTAAAATCGCCAAATTCCCCATATTTTGGATTCTCAAGATTTTAAAATAGACATGTTGAAAGTTTGTTATTTTTAATTTTTTTTGAATTTTGAACTGCAAAAATACAAAATTTAATTATTTTTAAAATTTTGGATTTTCAAAAATAAACATTTTTAAAAAACAAAGTTATCACTAAAAAAGAAAAATAATTGTATTTAAAATTTTCACATTTTCCAAAAATGCAAAATTAGTTAATTAGTTAATTTTTTAGATTTTTAAAAATCCAAAAGTTTCTAAAAACCCAAGGTTACGTGAAATTTGAGACTAATTTTTGGATTTTGAACATCCGGATTGTACAAGCAATTTTTCGGTTCTCACAATTCAAATTTTTTTTAACCGAACATGTACTAAATTTTTAGTAAAATTCAGACTTTCAAGATGGGAATCTTTTTGTAATATACATAAAATTACCGATCCTTGACCCCAACAAGAGGGAGAGGTGAGTTTTTCTTTTTGTTTTGAAAACCTACGTCTATTTAGTATTTTCAAAATTTGAGAATAAAATCAATTCTCAGTTTTTGAAAATCCTAAAAATGAGTATTTTGGGAAAGAAAAACCAAAACATGAGTATGAACCTAAATTTTAAAATTGGTAAAAGATTTCCCTCTCCCGCAGGTGTAGGAATTTGAGGGCCTCTTATAAATATAACTAGTAGAATGCACCAAAAGTTGCAGGTGTTGGCGTGCGTGTAATATATTTATTAATGATATTTTGCAAAGAAAATAAAATTACAAAATCTAAAATGAGAACATAGAATGAAAGAAAAATTAAACTAAATTTTGCAATAAAATAAAAAAATAAATAGTTTCTCATACATGTAGAGTGAAAGCGAAAGAGAGATGAAATACTTTTCACAAATAGCAACAGTGATTGAAATACTATTTGTTTGACTATTAGACATAAACTTAACGAAATGAGTAAATTATTTATCCATTATTTTGAATAACACATAAAATTTTAATATATCAAATTATGTAATATAGAGAGGATATTATTTTGATTATTATTTCAATTATAATAATATTTAGTACTTACAAAAATAAGTTTATATTATATAATTATTCCTATTATTAAAATAGATTAATATGAAGTACCTAAAAACTAATTAATATTATTTAATTAAAATTCTAATAGTACAACATAATTATTGTTTTTATTTCTAATCAAACTATATTTAATAAGGAAAAAGTTTATATACAGCCAAGGCTTTAAACAATCAAATTAGAGCCCACAAAAATTTCACTAGATATCTAAACATCTAGACGTTGTTTTGATGTCTAAATATCCTAAAATTGATCATCTCGACATCAAGATGCATTAACATGAGAAAAAAATGGATTTCAAGTTTTGGAAATAGTGTATCTTGTAACAAATTTTTGAACCGTCAATTATCAAGATTTTCAAGTTTTCAAAGATATTATTGATCTACACTCTTTTTGAAGCTTTAAAATTTATAATTAAAGATGAAAATATACGTTAAGACTATCACAAAGATTTGCAGTATTGAAACGACATTTCTCGACACTATTTGAAGGTGCACTATACTTTGATTATTTAGAGCCTCGGCTCTATACAAACCACATCCATTTAATAATGTTATACTAAGTGAATTATTATATTTCAAAATTATCAAATTTGATTATCATTATTCATGTACACATATTCATCACATTTATAATGTCGACCAAATAAAAAAAAATAAACAAAATATGAAATGTATCTCTATAATAATATTATTACTACTATATAGTTACACATCTGATAATAAAATCTATCATTATAATTATATTCTTGATATTTTTAATAATCATTATAGTTATTTTAGTAATGAATATTATAATATTTATGAATTACAATTAAAATATTCTCATGATGAATTATCATCATGTTAATTATTATTGACAAATATTATTGGCCAATATAAAATGGGTGCGGTTTCTATAGAACCTAGGCTCTAAACAATCAACTTAGAGCCTACCTTTAAATAGTGTTGAGAAATGTATTTTCAATATTGGAAATCTTTGTGATAGCTTTAAAATACATTTTCATATTTATTTATAAAGTTTAAAGACTCAAAAATAGTGTAGATCGACATATCTATGAAAAACTTGAAAATATATAATTGTCATAATTGTATACAAAACTATATTTATGAAAATAGACACAAAGAGACCATTAATCTTTTGTATATGGGTCTCAAACCGGTTTCCCCTAAAATCTCCCTTTTTATATATATATATTTTTAAAGATTATCTAATTTTTTTATGTCCCCGTAAGTTCCCATCTCTTAAGTCTCTATTTTATTTTATTTTTTATTTTTAATTATTGTTTTAGATCATCGATGCAAATTAAAAGGCTCAAAATACCCATGGGAATATCCCTTGGCTCTAGGTAAGAGAGAATAATATTAATTGGTATTGTGATCCTTCACTTTTTATTTTCTCACTTGGGAGAAATTCCACAGTTATATTTTACTGGTCTCTTTGTGAGGATTAATATGTTTGATTAGGTCTAGTACTTGCACATTTCCAGCTAAAAGGGCACGATAGTTATTAGATATAGCTAGATGGTATTTTATATAAATCACATTTGATTGCATCTTTATTAATCTTAGAGAACAACAGTAATATGTATTCCATTGTCGTCTAGAGGTTAGGATACTTGGCTTTCACCCAGGCGACCCGGGTTCAAGTCCCAGCAATGGAAACGTTTTCTTTTTGGCGTTTCAACTTGTTTTGTAGTCTACAATTTAAACTTCTAGTTAAATGGCGTCTACAGTTTAGGTTTACAATTTAGGTATTAAGATCAAACGGTGGGTAGATCTCTTGATCAAAATTGGATGGTTGGATGATAGGGGAAGCATAGGTTTACAATTTAGGTACTAAGATCAAACGGTGACTTTTTTTGGAGTCTACAATTTAAAGTTCTAGTCAAATGGCGTCTACAGTTTAGGTTTACAATTTAGGTAGTAAGATCAAACGGTGGGTAGATCTCTTGATCAAAATTGGATGGTTGGATGGTAGGGAAAGCATAGGTTTACAATTTAGGCACTAAGATCAAACGGTGACTTTTTTTGAAGTCTACAATTTAAAGTTCTAGTAAAATGGCGTCTACAGTTTAGGTTTACAATTAGGTAGTAAGATCAAACAGCGGGTAGATCTCTTGATCAAAATTGGATGGTTGGATGGTAGGGGAAGCATAGGTTTACAATTTAGGCACTAAGATCAAACGGTGAGTGGATCTCTTGATCAAAATTGGATGGCTGGATGATAGGAGAAAGAATAAATCTTCTATAGTATAGGGGAAGTATAGAAACTTTCCATTCACTAACTTCTAGTCAAATGGAGTCTACAATTTAGGCAGTGAGGCCTTGCATACTCCTGCGGGAGTACATCGGTCACTTCCTCGGGCAAGAGAGCTGCTAAGTAGGATTTTATCAATAGTTAATTTTAGGGTCTATTTTAGAGTTAAAAGTTGAGTATTTTTAAAGGTCGAGTTTTCTATGCTGTATAAAACTTATACATTCTCCCTATCCAATACTCCTGCGGGAGCACTTAGGTCACTTATTCTCTTGGGCAAGATAGCTACTAAGAAGGATTTTATCGATAGAAAATTTTAGTATCTATTTTAGAGTTAAAAGATGAGTACTTTTAAACAACAAGCTTTCTATTATTTCCTTATAGCACAAAACTTATATACTTTTCCCTATCCAACCGTCCATTTTGAAATCACAATATCATATCTTTACGCTATTTTATTTTTAATATTTTTTATAAAATATTTTGACACCAAATTTTGGACATCCACTCCTCTTTTAAACACACATGTAAAAAATATAAAAAAAAATATTCAATAAAAAAAAAACTCTAATACCTTTTAAAGTTTCAAAGAGGATTTTGGTCATTATATTTTATCAAAAAATTATTTTTAATATTTGTCTTAGGTGTACCCCATTGATATGTAAAAAAACTACAAATAAAATAATCTTAGGCTTCAGATCTAGATCAAGCGGTCAGTGACTCACTTGATATAAATTGGACAGCTGGATGAGTGGGAAGTATATATCTTCTATGCAGTAGAAGAAATAATGTAGAAACCTTTCAATTTTTAAACAAAAGAATCTATTTTAGAGTCATAATATGAGAATAAAAAATTTGAATTCTTATATAATCAGATTTGAAATTGGATATACCCTGTTCAATCTGTTATTTTTTTCAAAGGCATCTGATTTTTTTTTCTTTTTTTTACTTATTTTGCATTTATTTTTAAGGTTGGTTTTAGTTCAAGGAGGTTACATCCTCAAATTTTTTGGTCCTTAAAAAAATACTTAGTAGATTATGTTTCACCTGAGGGAGTGACTAGATGATATGATCTTTCGCCCTAGTGTTAAACTTCACCACGCTGATTTTTTTTTCTTTTGTTTTTGGGAATCTATTAACTCATAATTCCATTAGCTAAATGCAATGTGTCACCAACCTGATTTTTTTTTTTTTTGGGAGTCTATTAACTCATATTTCCATTAACTAAAGCCTAAAGGCAATGTAGAGGCCTTCAGTCTTCTTGAGTTACACTTCTTCTTAATATGAATATTCTTATCGACCTAGCACATGCTATCCATTTTTCATGCTTGATTTTTATTATTCTTCAAGTTGCTTTTTTTTTTGGAAAAAGTCTATATAAGGATGCTACCTTATATTGTAGAACTACGGGCGCCCCAAAAAAATCCATCGGAAAATGTAGTTTTAATGTTGAAAAACCATTTGATTGATCATCTCGACATCGAGATGTATGACTATGAAAAATGAAAGGACTTTAAGTCTCAGAAATAGTGCATTTTACAACATATTATCTACGCCGTCCATTTTCATGATTTTCATATGTTTATAGATCTACTTGATTTTAACCATTTTTGAAATTTAAAATTTTATAATTAGATATAAAAATAGATTTTGAGATAATCCTCAAAACATTTTACATCAAAATTATATACCATGATAAACTTTGAAGGTGCACCTTACCTCTACATTTATAGATGCATTTGTATGCAAACTGCATCCCTTTTTTTTTTTGCCATCGACAAAGGAGTTGGCCTGATGAACATGATGGAAGATATCGTCAAACCACCTATCAAATCCATTATTTGACACTATATTGAACAAAACTCTCATGGGATATGCTGCTATTTTCTATACCATCTCACCACATTTAGCGAGTCTCCCTCCACCATAGAGTGGGTGCCCAGATTTCTAGTGATGAGAAATCTTAGACCATAAAGGACGGCCTTAAATTATCTCGTCTTGGTCTTTTATACTATCCATTGCTTTTACATACAAAAACTACCTAATGTGATGGGGTATGGACGTATTTTCACACCAATTAGTCCTAGTGAATTTTTTAAACCAAGTGGCATCCAGTTTTTTTTTGGGTAAATAACGTCTAGTTGGTGCGAAAATACTTCTATACTTAATCACCCAAGGTAATTTTTTCACGCGTAACAAATGTTGAAAAAGATGGACTGTTCAAATAATAACACAACTTTTCAAAACCTTCAAAGGACAATCTCACATTTAACTCTCTTCCAATCAAAAGATGCTCTTAAGAAAAATGGAAACAGTTTATATAAGTTTGCAACCTTAAAATGTGGACTTAAAGATGCACCTCAAGAATCCATTGGAAAATATTGTTTTAATGTTGAAAAACCCTCTAATTAATCATCTCGATATTGAGATATATGAATAGGAAAGAAAAAGAAAGATTTTGAGTTCTAGAAATAGTGCATCTTGCAACACATTATCTAGACCGTCCATTTTCAAGATTTTCATATATTTCTAGATCTACCTGATTTTAAACATTTTTTTAGTTTAAAATTTTATAATTAGATATGAAAATAGATTTTCAAATAATCCTAAGAATTCTTTATGCCAAAATTACATGATAAAATTTAGAGGTGCTCTTTAATTGGATTGTTTAAGGTTGCAACCTTATAGAAACCCCATCCGTAAAGTGAATATGGAGTAAATATGGAGGGTTTTTGTCAACTGATATTTTGTATTCTCCTCATGGGTATGTATGGAGCCTAGGCTCTAAACAATCAAATTAGAGCCTACCTTCAAATAGTGTTGAGAAATGTGGTTCCAATACTGGAAATCTTTGTGATAGCATTAAAATATATTTTTATTTTTATTTATAAAACTTTAAAGCTTCAAAAATAGTGTAGATTGATATATCTATGAAAATTTGAAAATCTTGAAAATTTACGGTCCAAAAATGCGTTACAAAATACCCTATTTCCAAAACTTGAAATCTATTTTTTTCTCATGCATATGCATCTTGATGTCGAGATGATCAATTTGAGGATCATTGGGCATCAAAACAACCTCTTTTAATGAAATTTTTGAGGTAGGCTCAAATTTGATTGTTTAGAGCTTCGGCTCTATGTAAACTTTTCCCTTCTTTAAATGCCCTACTTGATTGCAGTGTACCATTGCGTTTTGGGATTGTATACAACAAATGTAGTATATTGTTCCTGTCCTGATACTACTTGTTGACTCCATCCATTCGCAAGTACGGATGGTGAAGATGAACCATGGAGGGGACGACTCCATTTCCCAAGCGAGGAGTGGTTCAACTCCGCCATTCATTATGAGAATCAATGGCGGAAGCTTATGAAATGGCGCTGGCCAGTTGAAACTTGAAACCACTTCCACATGAGAAAATAGGAAAGCATATCATGCAGTGGTACATGCACCATCCATTCTTATTTACGTAAGGTGTAAACTAGCCACACCCAAGTAAATATCATTTTCTGATAATCCATGCCCAAGTGAATATCATTGTGAGCTACAATTAATCTCCAAAATCCATTACAAGAGATGTAAGGGTAGATGCAAAGCAGGTAAATAGTTTGGGTCCAACATGACTAGGAGGTTGAACCTAAAACTGACTGGTTAGGTCTTGGCAGGACCAGGTCCAAGTCAAGTGGACCCAGACTTGACCAGCAAAACCCACCTGAGGGTGGTGTCTCCAAACTTGGGCCAGGCCACAAGGTGCACTGGCCCAGTTATCACCCCAGGGTAGATTTCCCTTGGTCCATCGATCCCTGAGTGTTTTTTTTTTTGTAGAAATGATCTATGCTATACATTTTATAGAAAATTTGCTAAAACTTGTGGACCTATGTGGCCCTTTCAAGTTCCCCATGTCTAGATCATTTTTAATGTAAGCATGGGGACAACATTCAACACGATGAAATAAGCCTTACGGCTCTACAAAGCTAAAGATGAAATCTTTCCATAATTCTATTTCCATTTAGTAAAAACACACACTAAAAGAAACATGAAACATAATTTAAGAAAAAGAAAAACCGAAAAGAGGAATAAAAAACCAAGAGTAAAGCCTATCCACCCGAGACCTTGGGTCCCAGTCCTCAGCAAGAGAGAGCGCACATCTCTCAAACAAAGGACTCGGACACTAGCAGTAAAAGGGTATTTCCAACAATTCAAAACACCTTTCCCAGTTTAGATAAGTGACTAGACCGACATTTACATGACCACCAACTGCTCTATAGAAACCAAAATCCCCACAATCTTCACACTCTTCCTATTTCAAGAGAGATCCCCCAACACCAACATTTCCATCAAAAGAGCTGAATTTGAAATGTCCAAACTCCACCCATGTATTTCAATTTCTCCACATTCATCGACCATCAGCTGAAGCGAAGGACTCAGCAAACCCAGTAGGCTTAGTTGGTATGCTCGAACCTGTATCCTCAGAAGCAAAGCCAAAGGCCCCCGTTGCTTGTGAATCACTTGAGGCTTGCCATCTCTTTACAGCCTCAGGTAAAGGCAAGTCAAGATCAACCCCATAATACTCTTCAGGGTCAGCCTCATCTTGTGGCTTCCAAACATTAACAAGAGATGACAAAACACCAACCACATAGCCCATATCGGGCCTTTGAGTTGGGTCTCGCATTGTGCATTGGAATGAAAGTTCGGCGACTCGTGAAATGCTCTCTAGAGTCTCCTCAGAGGGGGGATCAAGAGATGGGTCAATAAGTGCTTGGAGGCCACCATTGGTTGGGAGGATGCGGCGAAACCAGGAAGAAAGCACCACGCACTCTTCAGTCTGATTCTCTTCTAACGCTTTTCGGCCAGTTATTAGCTCCATGAGGATGACGCCATAGCTGTACACATCTACCTTGACTGAGACACGAGGATTCACTGTCACAACAGTAGAGATAAAAATGGTTAGTGATTTGTTATTATTATTGAGTTAAACAGTTATTTGAGTGCTCTGATAAATCACGGAAGGGAAGGTAAACTACGATCTATAGTGATATGGTTGTTAGGGTTGGCACCATCTAATGAATCGATTAGATGGAGATGGAGGGTGAGCGGCACATAACATAGAATTAATGACATGTTTGGTGGGACCCATTCTCACTCCACCATCGTCCAACTGGTTGATGGGACTGTGATGACCTTTATGACCATATTAATACCATAAGATGTTACCATGAGCATTCAGATCATAGTATGCTTTCCCTTGAAGGGAAATATGCTTTAATCTAATGGACTATATTCTATTGGGGGTCATCACCATCCAATGAAATAGTGATTGGTAACAGAGATATTCAGAACCAACATAACAGGATCCAAGGCTCACTCTTTTTCCATCGATGTCCATCATTTCATTGAATGGTGAGACTATATTGTCTTCCATGGTCCATTATATTATTGGTACAAAATATGGTCCACTTCCTGCCTTAAAAATGTCCCACAATCACAAGGGAAGAAGTCCATGTGATTCCCATCCAAATTCTGAAATGACGGGATTCACAAGATTTCTATTTAAAAACAAAAGGGGTGAAGAGATGTTCACTTGACCAATATTCAATTTTGTATGGGGCCATTTTGAGTTTTGAATATCAGACAGCAAGCTTATCAAGAACTGGGCATTTGCAGGCAAGTTCCAAGGGATCAGGTATCGTTTGTGCGTGCTAGTGTTTTGGTGAACTTTTGGAAAAAAGGGGCCTAAACAAATCACTTATCACTTCAGGATAATTAGGCACATAAAGGAAACAAAACAGCCACACATATTACATGTGAAAATGATACTCTTTGCTAGCAATTCTTGACCAAACAGAAGTAAAAGCTATTGGCATGTATGCTGTTGTATGCATTTACTATCTGCCATGCCCAGTGTTCCAAAAACTGGTTCACCCGGTGCCTAGGCTCCAGGCGGACCCCAAGGTGTACATCCAGGCCTGGGCGGCCCTCATTGGACGCCAATACCTAGAGGCCTGGGCGGGTGCCCAGGGCTTGCGCCCTTTTTGTGAATAAAGTGCCCTTGAGGGACACTTTGAATCATTTTTAAATCACATTTATTTCTTAAGATGCCTTTGGAGATATTTTAAACCTCCAAAGTCGAAAAAATATTGGAATCTAAGCCCCAAATCTATTGATTTTGAGATCTCTGTGAATCGAAATAAACTTTAGATTGCAAGAAACATCCATAAACGTACCTCTCATTGTTGGGATTTTTTTTTGGGTGATATTGAAGAGATTTGAATACTATTGCCATGCTTTCTAGCTTGATTATGGAATATGGAGAGTTGAATAAACTATTGCCGTGCTTTCTAGCTTGACTATGGACTATTGAAGAGATTTTTTCTAGGTGCTAGGTGTTCGGCGCCAAGCCAGCCGCCTAGCGTCTTTTGAAACCTTGGCCATGCCAAGTGAATGAAGTAGTCCAAAACATGCATTGCACATTGAAATTTGCTGATCCTCATGTGCTGAATCCATTAAAAAACCTTATGAAGCTCTAACGGAGTATTAACATGGAAACAAACATTTAAGCAATATTTGGAAAATGTCTTAATAGTCCTCATAATTTTTTCTTCATATTCATGAAGGACATTTAGGAATTTATATAACTGAATCTGTATGAGCTCAAATGACAAATATGACCAACATTGTTGTAGAATTTGTGGAAGCAGCTGGTCTTTCAAGAAGAATCATAAGGTGTTGATTGCCTTTCCCTTTTTATCATTGGAGCCTTTGGATTTTGTAGGTTGCAAACATTGATGCAACCACAAAATCACAAGGGAATGATAATAACAATGTCGTAGGCAAGTTGTGTCATAGTTGTTAGGATCAAGAGCAAGATTGGAAGCGGGAGCAGAAGCGGGATGAGGATTGGGAGCATGGGATCCTGACAGGATAGAAGCTCCCTCTGTTTGGGATCATTGTGCATACAGCCTAAATTTTTAGGGACCTCGATCCTAACCTGTAGGAGAGCTAGATACCAACTTTTCAGTACCACAGGATAAATTCTAAATGTCCGACACCAATCTGGTTAGAGCATCTCTTTTCTCTTTGAAAAAAATATATAGAACATGATTTTGCAACGTAATTACTTTCTTTTTCTAATGGATGTTTATTTAAGAATTGCTACCTTGTAACAGAACAATCCAACATGAATATGATTTATATTGATTGATCCCCAAAGGACTGGGATTGTGTTTCTGCGTATGGGGGATCCACCCAAAGTCTAGCTCCAGGAGTGTGCAATTGCCAAGATCACCACCAAGTTGGGAGACCCCGGTAACAAAAGGTTGTGTACTCCAAGGAATAGTTAAAATAAAAAAAATCAATGGCAAATGCATTAGAGCTGTGCAACCAAACCAAAAATCTTTTAATAAGATGCAGTGTAAAACACCTTGTCTTCAAGGAAGATCACAGTGCATTACAAAAAAAAGATCTTTATGAAAGGTATGTACAGCAGATTTGATATTAATATATAGGAGGATTTCAGGAGAAGGATAAGGGAATCCCCTATTTCGCAGAATGCCTTAATCTCGTGAGGAAAAACAAGCAAGAACTAACACAGTTTAGACTTTAGATCAAATTCTCATTTGTTGTTATAACAAGATAACAATAATCCCATAAAAAGGACAGGGTAGTCTTTGGTTATTAGCAATAATTTGTTAATTGCAGGAAACAGAGAGGTGAACCTGCCAAAAAGCTTGTGGGAAAGGGTGACTAAGCTGTAAGCCAAGGACACAGTATGCCCTAAGAATATATGTAGCGATGAGAACTCTTTTTGTCAATTGTCAGAGAAGGGTGATCTACTCATCATCATCATCATCCGAACCTTATCCTAACTATTTGGGGTTTGCTACACGACTCGTATTCTGTCATTCTCCTCTATCAAGGGCCATACTCTCAATAAGACCATAGGTCACTATATCTTTTCTCACTACTTCCATCCATGTCTTTTTGGGTCCTTGCCCTTTTAGAGCCTTCCATTTGAACCAAATTGTACTTTTTAATCGGTGCTATAATAAGCCTATGCTACGCATGGCCAGCCCACCAAGTATACTTTCCCTCATCTTATCGCCTATTGAAACAAAAGGGTAATCTACTAATGCTGAATGGTTCAATACAAAAGGAGAATAACTCATGGAGGATCTCAAACTTCTCTTTTTCAGATTTTGGACAGCATAGAGAAGATGGAAAGAAGAAATAACAGAGCAAATATTGGCCAAGGAATGTGTTAAAAACTAGATGAAATGGTTAGCAACGGTTCATCATTATCCAAATTTTATATGGGCCGCTCACAATCTTCATGTTAAAATGATTTTCATTTTTCCCCAAATATCTGTTGGCAATTATTTCCTCCAGTTATCAATCTGAACACAAGCATCAACTCTAGGTCGTAGTCTCCATTACAGTACAAGCAACACATAATTGTATAAACCTAAAATACAACAATATAAGCTTCTGGTCTTGGCGATATTCTCCACATGATGCAAGCAATCCATCATAACACAAGGATCATTCCAATGCCTTCTCTTACAAAAGGAACCAAATTATTCTATCCTGTTGTACCTAGAAACGAACAACTAAAGGTCAATTGATCGCATAGAATTTGGGAAATTTACATTCCGTTGAAGCATAGCTCCTTATGGGTTAACCAAAATTATCCTCTTAGTGTTCTGGGGTTTCTAAACATTTTAAAATTTCTCTTTTTAATTGTTAAAATTCTGGCATTTTTTTTTTAATCCTTTCGTTTCCACAACTTTCCAATCTATTTGTGTTGCTCAGTGCCTCCAAGGACACAATGCCACAGCCCTGTTGCACCTCATTCCTCGAAAGGCAACTCATATTATTTTAACTGGAATTGAGAGCTCAGATTCTGAACGTTAGGTCAGTTGGAAAGGCTCTTCTTCCACGTTGAGGCAGTGGTTTGAATTTGGCTCACCCCTTCAAGAAATAACTAGGAATGAAGTGTGCGTGCAACAAGAAGAAGATAAAAAACCCACAAAATTCCATAATTAATGCAAAACATCAGAAAGAGAAAAGAAAACCTCACTTGTGTACTCAGGTGCGAGGTACCCGAATGTTCCAGCCATCTTGGTCACTTGGATCGAGACCCCCCCCTGGGGGGCCAGCCTCACCAGCCCAAAGTCCCCAACCTTCGCTGTCATATCCTCTGCAAGCAAAACATTCGAACTCTTCAAATCCCTGTGTATGAATTTCTCCCTTGCAAGACTGTGCAGATACTCGACCCCTCTCGCTACATCTAGAGCCACTCTCACTCGCCTTTCCCAATCCATTGGCTTCCACTCTCTCTCTTTCCACTTAAACAAATGATCACTCAGTGCCCCTTGTGCCATATACTCATAAACTAAGGCCCTCTCTGACCCCTCCCAACAATAATACATCAAAGTCACCAAATTTCGATGTCGAAGCTTCGAAAGACTAGCAATCTCAGCTTCATACTCAGTTAACCCCGTATCTCCAATAACTCCGCCCGCCATTCTCTTCACCGCCATCATAGTCCCATCTTCCAGTTCTCCCTTATACACAGTACCAAAACCCCCACGGCCCAATTCGTTCTCTTTATCAAAATTCTTCGTAATTTTTCGAAGAGTTTGTATTCCTATAGTTGGAACCCTATCATCGACCATTTGAACAAAGCCGTGATGGGCATGAGCCATTGAACCAGGGCTTAGCTCCATGGTTCCAGGGCTTGAACCCAATATTGTCACTTTTTGGAACTCAGAACCTGACCCTGAGTGGGTTGGGTGCACCACAATTGAGTGAGGTTCCAATGCTCTAGGGCTGCGGACTCGCCTAAACTTATGTTGCCTCCTTCTATAGCAAAAGAACCCTAACCCACCAACCACAAAAACCCCAACTAAAACCCCTATAACAACCCCTACGATCGTCACCACGTTACTAGACTTTGACACTTCCCCGATGGTTTTAGGGCTTGGCTTGCCATTTTCTGGTGATGGAGCCGCAGGTTCAGAGCCGCCACCACCATGATTTCCATCCTTACCAAGATCTGGGTTTCCATCCTTTATCAAATTAACATTCTGTCCAAAATCTGGGATCTTTCCTGAAAGTGAGTTGTCTGACACATTAAGCACTATTAGCTTCGAGAGCTTGGTGAGCTCAGGTGGGATGGTTCCATGGAGGTTATTGCGCCCAAGCAAGAGCCTCTGCAAAGACTCGAACCTCGAAAAGTCAGGAGAAATGGTTCCTGTTAAATTCAAGCCCTGGAAATTGAGTATGGTTATGTTACCTTGAGAACTGCAAGTAACATAATTCCATTGATTACAAGGATCATTTCCTTTCCAATTAGTGGCAAAATTGTCAGGGTAACCCAATGGTTCAGCTATTGATAGCAAGCTATTCACTCGAGGATCACAATCCCCAGGAACATCTAAGCAGAAGCTATTTGTTTGAGCGACCATATCGACTGAAACAATGGAAGGAAGAAACTGAGGCAGAGGCCCCTGAAAATGGTTATTGGTTAAAGAAATGTTTTGTAGAGATTTAAGATTCGTAAGAGATTTGGGAACAAGGCCTGTAAATTCGTTATCTCGAAGCCTCAGCTCCTCCAAAGAAGTGAGTCCAGAGAAATCAGGCAATGGACCGGAGAAATGGTTTGAATGTAACCAAACTTGAACCAAGCCAGTCATGTTCTGAATCACTGAAATAGAGCCATTAAGCTTTGACACCTGTTGATTTTGATTTTGATTGTTGAGCCATAAGAACCTCACAGGAGATCCTGAAAAACTCTGAGGCAAGTTTCCATAGAGATTGTTATAAGCCAAGGCCAATGTATTTAGGCTTGGCAAGGCTGAGAAGATATCAGGTATTTCTCCATATAAGTTAACCGTATTTGCAGAGAAGTTTACCAGACTGATCAATTCCTTCAAACTCTCCGGTATTCGCCATGGAGAAAATGGGTTATTGTCTAAACTAACAGCTGTCAATGCTATTAAACCAGAGAAGAAATCACCTGGTATTGAACTGAAATTATTCCTTTCAATAATCAGGATGCTCAAAGAACTAAGACCTTTTAGAGTAGGCAACGGCCCCGAAAGCTGGTTTGACATGAGCTCGAGCCTAACCAGAGACGAAAGCTTGTTGAGATCATCCGGTAAAGTTCCTTGAAGACTTTGGTGCCCTATTTGGATGGATTCAATCCTACTTTGCGAACAATAAACCTGCTTCCATGAACATGGATCAGTATCAGAGGTCCAACCAAGGGTCTTTCCAGCATTGATGCTAATGGCGAGCTTCTGCATAACACTAGCATCGTTGGGATCAGTCTGGGCTTCTGAAAACCCTAAAGCCACTATCAGGAGCGCAAAAACCGTCGCCTTTTGCCCCAAAACCGCTTGTTTCAGAGCAACACCGCCATTCTGCTCTCTCTTCTTCATCTCGGAGAGAGAGAGACACAGCAGAAGAAGAGAGAAATGGAGAGAGGACTTGTCACATAGTACGAGTGGAGTGCCAAAAGTGGTTTTAGGTTAGTAAGAGAGAGAAGTTTTTTAGAGAGAGAAAGAACAGAGTGTAAGATAGAGAGAGAAATAGAAAGAGGAGAGAGGTTGGCTTAGAGAGGAGAGAGAAGGAGAACCGAAAGTGAACAAATGTTTCATGCGGGCTGGACCGCCTTCCTACAATACGCGGTCAAGAAGTATAAAGCATCCCTCTTAAAGATGGACGTACATCATTTAAAAAAAAAATTGTACTTATATAATTATTATTTCTAATTTTCAAATTTTATTTATTTATTCAATCTCCATGTTAAAAATTATATATTTTTTAAAAATTAAATTCAAATTATATTTACAAAATATACATATTGCCAAGCCGGCGTTTGCGGGCTGGCCGCATGCGCAAGAGAGGGGGGATGGAGATAAGAGAGTAGAGAGGTTGACAACTTGGGTTGGTGATGAGAGAGAGAAAGTTTTAGAGAGAGAAAAATAGAAAGTTTGGGAGACAGAAGAGAGGTGAGATATTTGGGTAGAGAGAGAAAGAGGAGAGAGATAGAGAGGGGGAGAGAGAAAGAAGAGAGTACAGGGTGGCGAAAGAGCGAGGGCACATGGATGGGGCCCACGCTATTGGACAAGATTAGAGGAGGAGCCCGCTAAGTTTGGCGCCGTGGCCTCTCGTTTGCTGCTTTTCTGGGCTAAATTTAGCAGGTAATTAAGGATGATTCATGATTATTTGGGGGATTAAATATTCAACCTGTCACTTTCCTTTCTATTGCCTTTCCTAGAAAAACCAATTGGAATTACAAAAACGTTCATGTAGAGTGCTCTCGCCGGAGCCCTCTGTGAATATACTCCCTCCGAAAAAGAAGTGCTTATCAAGATTCATGGATATGCAATTTGGTACTCAACCAGAACAGGACTTTTAAGTAATGGAAATGGACCTGATTTTCATGAGTCCCCTGACTCATACCATTTTCACGCGGGCTCCCTTGAATATCCATTATTTGTATCGATTTTGGACCCAAATCACGATCGATGATGAATACAAAAAATAAAATATAATAAAATAAAAATTTAAAATATTTTTATTATAATATTTTCCTATCCATTGGATAGAAATCTCTAGTTGTGGCTGTTCATCTTTAAGATGGACCTTCGTGACTGTGCAGGCTAGTGGAAATTCAATTTTGATCTATAAAAGGTTTGAGTCTCTGTTCATTCTTAAGACCTTACTATTTTGGAAAATTGTTATGCGAGTTAGGGGGGCACTAACGTCCGTCATAAAGATGTATGTCGAGTAAAGTGCACCGCTTATAACACTAACATGTGAACAATGCACAAAAAAATACCGAAAAATTATTTATTTAATTTTAAATTTTTTTTTCTTATTCATAATCATCTTGGCCTAGATAACGAATCTATAAACAATTAGATTAAAAATCCACCTTTAAAATGGATTTTAGAGGGAGGCCGCATTTGTACATATAAGTTGGCTGACCCATAGAAACCCATCCTAATATTTTTGGAAAATGTAGAGGAACTTTTAAATTTATTTTCTTCAAGTTAGTTGCTCAAGTGTGGAGGTCATATCACAAATTAATTTGATGAAGTGATAATCTTTTGACTTACAAAATTTCATGTTTTTATTTTCTCTGGTTTTTCACCTTCATTAAATGGGGTGGGTTTACGCTTTTCTACCGTCAAAATGCTTTTTATGTCATCCAATAGAAATGGATAACACAAAATGCATTCACATTCATATGCCGTCCGATTTTATCAGACGGTATGCCATCCGATTTCATCAGACGGTGCAAAACTTAGCCAAAAACAAGTGTGTGCACTTTGCGCCACTTAGATTAAGCCTCAATCTCATATGATATTTTAAACTGGGGTGTGGTTTGCATAGGATTGCAACTTTAAACAATCCAATTAAGGCGTACTTCTAAATTTTATCATAAATATAATTTTGATATAAATTTTTTTTAGGATGGTTTGAGAATCTATTTTCACCTTTAATTATAAAATTTTAAACGATACAAATTGTTCAAATCAAGTAGATTTATAAACACATGAAAATTTTGAAAATGGACGGTCCAGATAATATGTCGTAATATATACTATTTCATGGACTCGAAATCTTTTATTCCTTTTTATATTCATAGATATTGATGTCGAGATGGTCAATTAGAAGGTTTTCCAACATCCAAACAACCTTTTATGATGGATTTTTGAGACGCATCTTTAATTTTACATTTTATGGTTACAAACGTATATAATTTTTTTCCTTTAAACCATAGACTTACTATGGGATCCAACTACTTATGAGGTGAATAGACAGCTTTTTTTCCTTTGAACCATGGACTTATCTGGGATCCAACTGCTACTGATGTGAGTAGACAGTGAGTTTCAAGTTGACTTGCCAAACATCATCCAAATATAAATATCAAATGAAAAATTTCCTAAAAAGTTAAAAAAACTTAAAAAAAAAAAAAATCATAAAAATTTTTAGAAGACTAGCAAAAAAATATATAAAATAATCTAATTTTGATTTTCATATGGAGAAAATATGATATTCAATATGTTTGGCGTCCTCTCGATGATATTGTAAGGTAACATTCATTTTTTTTTATATAAATTAAAATGACTTATTAATTTTCAAGTTTGATTTTTAGATTAAAGATTAGGGAAAATTATGTAAATATCCATTTTAGTTTTCGTTATTACTAAAATACCAAATACTTTCCGTTATTATTGATATGTCTGTTTTTTGGACTTCATAATAATTTTTTTTAAAAAAAACAAAACGAACCATTTTTGGTTTTTCAAAAACCGATATCAAGTGAATTTTGATTTTTGAAAAACCAAAAAATTTTAAAATTTCAATTTTTCAAGAAGCGAAAATTTTTCTTTTTCTTGTGGGTACTCTGCGTATTATATCTCTCTCTTTTTTTTTTGCTAATAAAAGAGATGCCACTTTTCATTACCCAAAACCTCCCAAAAACATAAACAAGCATGTTCTTTGTTAACCAATTAAAACATTAAGTCCAAGGTGCATGCATATAAAGAGTCTTCTCCTCTTCCTCGCCACCATCAATCTGATGCATTATGTACTTCAATTGTTTGTTTTGATCTTCAAGAATCCTTTTGTTGGGTTTTAGCATTTGATTCCTGGTGCGAATGTTTTTTAGAGCTCTTGGGCAATAGAAAGTGTCATCTCTTTTATTAGCAAAACAATGACGAAAGTGTCATCTCTTTTATTACCAAAAAAAAGAAGAAGAGAAGAGGGAATACGCAGCATTTTCGGTTCTTGAAAAACCTAAAATGGAAAGTTTTGTTTTTTTTTTTAAAAAAATTGTTTTGAAGTCCAAAACATGGACATATCAGTTATAACGAAAATTATCCTATATCTCGATAATAATGAAAACTAAAACGGATATTTATGTAATTTTCCCTAAAAATTAAGAAGTTCGACATCACATATATAATTGTAGAATCGTATAGTTTCAGAGATAGAGAGTCAACAACAAATACATAGTTTGCTAGAGTCCACAAAATAAAATATTAGAGATATAGTGATACACACATGAGAAAGAGGGGTACTTTAATAGCAAACATCTGACTATAGTCAATATACATTTCATAGAATGTCAAAATCATTCTAAATATATTTTTAGTGAAACCTAAATGCTTGTGCAGATTGGCTGGCCATTCATTCTAATAATTCTACGCCAGCCCCTATCTTGCTCATCACCCGGAGCTATCATCACTATCTTCTTCTTCTTCATCATCATCAGAGGCTTCATCATTTTGTCCGCCTTTTTTGTCCCTCCTATTGAATCTCATCGACCCCCGGTCTTTATTCCCTATCTAGACCGATTGTTTCCTCGAGGATCCTCTTGTTGCGGGTTAGTTCAAATATTATGGAGAGTCTGACTTCTCAAATATTTCTCATTGGTATATAGAACCATTATAATGTACTCCAGCATCGCTCACTCCCTATTTCAGAATATTTTGATTTAGTGAGAGGTATCGCCTCCGTATATTTCCTTCTATTTTGCAAAAAAAAAAAGAGAGAAAAATAATTCCTCAAACAAGATTACAATCATAACACAAGAGTACAATCATAACACAAGAGTACAATCATAACAAAATGTGACAACAAATCAATAACTGAAATAATACTATTAGAATGATTTGAATATATGAGAAATTGAAGCAAACACACCCAAAAACTTACTCGAGCTCCAATGAGAAACGCCCAAATCACTGCTAGGACAATGCAGGTTGATGAACAGTTTTGCCCCCAATTAGTTAGAAGCCCTCCAGAACTCGCAAGTTGGTTCTAGTTCTGATTGACTCGGCCATATTCGCGTTAGGTTCGGCAAGATCTGGAACTTAGGTCTCATAGCTGTCTTCTCAAGGTTTTAGATCCTTGCTATGCTAGGATGACTCTGGGCGTTTTCAATCCACATTGAGGGGTCACTTCTCAACACACCATATCTAATCCATGATCCGATATCTAGTTTGAGGAAAGCTCGAGACATAAATCAATATTAATATGGCAAAAGTTTATATAAGGTTGCAATCTTAAAATGTAGCATTACAGATGCACCTCAAAAATCTATCGGAAAAGTTGTTTTAATGTTGAAAAACCCTCTATTTGATCATCTCAACATCGAGATGTATGAATATAAAAAACAAAAGTTTTTGAGTCTCAGAAATAGTGCATCTTGCAACACATTATCTAGACTGTCCGTTTTCAATATTTTCATATGTTTATAGATCTCCATGATTTTAACTATTTTTGGAGTTTAAAATTTTCTAATTAGATATGAAAATAGATTTTAAGATAATCCTAAAAAAATTTTACAACAAAATTACGTATTATAATAAAATTTGGAAGTGCACCTTAATTGGATTGTTTAAGGTTGCAACTTTATAGAAACCGCACCCTATTAATATTGATATCCACATTACTATCACGATATTACTTTTGATGTGATAAGGTTGAAAAAACCAAATAAAATGAAAATGTAATGA